CATCCAGAGGCCCGCATTGCCTCGCCATAGGGCTATTGCTAGACGGCCGAAAAGATGCTTTGTCATGTCAATGGGATCGGTGGAGTTCAGCCGCTGACCCAAAGCTCGACCTATTGAACGGATGGTAGCAATGGCGTCAGGGCACCAACCTCCTAGTGTCTCCACAACAATAGGGAGGAAGTCCACACCAGCCGCTCGACAGGATGGAAGGTTGGATGTCAGCTTCCTTCGAACGCCAACACTAAGGGCATGGCCAGGAGAAGAAGCAGCCTCAACCAGAGTTAGCTGCTGCAGTGGCGATATAACACTGACGTATAGTGCAGCTGAACGCCCACGGTACCAGTTTGGGAGAAGGATGTCGACTGGACGAAGAATACAACCCGGAGTAGTTGCCTTACGCTAATGCGCTCGGCAATTATGTATAGCACGCAAAGCCATGCAAAACTGGCAAAGGATAAAATATCCAAGGAATTTTACCTGGGAGGAAGTTACACCGAAAAGCACAAAAGTGCAAACCCTCGGCGAAAAACCGCGCACGCGTGAGTACATGCATACGCATGGACGAGTCGCTATAATTATTGATGGGCTGGGCCACGCTGTCGACGTACACTCGGTTTCTCGCGGATGGCTGGCGCTGAGAGTCTGACAACACTGTATACTAGGTAGATAGCGTTCTAGGCATTGGGGGATTCGATGCTTGTGCTCCGTCGAAACTTCCTATGCCTCCACGTACACAACGCGGACAGCGTTGTAATTAGCATATTGGCTTGTTCACTTCGTTTTCACGCCATAGCTTTTGAACGTATTATTTTTACGAAAATCGCCAGGTAGAACTGAACCCGTTCGTGTCGCTTTTTAGCCCGTTTGTTGCGCGTGGTAGCAGAAAACGTGGTAACAGACACACACATACACAGACACACTGACCAAGTGCTGTAACCGTCGCTGCGCTTGCGCGCCGGTGTTAAAAATCCCGAGAGACACTGAAGTGCAAACCCTCGGCGAACTGCGCAAGCGCGATACGGGATGGCCGTAGTATGCGTTTACCCGTGGTCTTCTGCTAGTATAGGCCGCGGAGAGTCTGACACGGGCTAGCTACGGTAGTAGAAAACATGCGGGAGTCGATACACGCCCTCCGTTGAGACCTCCAAGGTACGCAGAGCAAGCACATCTTGTCGAGGTAAGCCTGTGCTAATTATAGCAATTGGCTTGTTCACTTGCTTTTCACGCCATAACTTTCTAACGCAGTATTTTTGCGAAAATCGGCAGTTATAAAATCAAGCTTGGAGGAGTTTTGTTTGCAGATGACTTTGTTGGTGTTAGTGAGAGTAATGATCTGTTACAGACGCTTATAGATGTGATGCATGCTTACTGTCGGAAATGGAGGCTAAAGGCTAATGTGAGTAAGAGGGCAGTGATGGTGTTTTGTAGGGAGTCAGTGGATGGTGCTTGGAAATGGGGGGAGCATGTTTTGCCTAGAGTATCTAAATACATATAATTGGGTGTTGATTTTACTAATAATAATAATACTGGTGCATGGGATGTGCATGTCAAGAATGTGTTAGACAATGATAGAAGGAAGGTTAATCAGTTGCATAGTGTAATTAGTAAGAGGGATATTAATTTGAGTGCTCGTAGGTTGTTGTTGCTGGCGGTGGTTAGGCCAACTTAGGGGTGAGGTGTGGGAAGCCAATAAGACTCAGGCAGCTGCGTTAGAGTCCGTTATGCTGGGAGGAGCTAAGCGTATTCTTGGGTGTTCGTCTAAGACATGTAATGAAGCCGCTAGGGGAATATGGGGCTTGATAGGTTACAAGGGCATAGGGATAAGAATAAGTTGAAGTGGTGGTATAAGTTAGCGGCATTGCCAGGCAATAGGTATCCAAAGAAGCTTATTAATCAGGAATGGAATTTTAAACCACAGAGAGGCAGGCAGAGGAAGTGCTGGAGTAAGATCATTGATGATCTATTTTCGTCATTAGGTCTTGACAAGACAGAGCAGTTGCATGATATTCAAAATGGGGATTGCTCCATGAAGGGCTTTTTGTCTATAGTAGGGGACAGTATCAATGAGAGGGAGATTAGAAAGTTTGAAGAGGGGCTAAATAGCAACGGTTTTATAAGACATTTACCAAGGTGGTAGAGTTCAAAAAGTACTTGCATGGGAAAGGTGATGCTGGGTCTAGATTAATGTTTAAGTTCAGGTCAGGCACGCATGGGTTAATGAGGAATTGGGTAGGCATAGTGGGAGGGAGGGGATGAAGGAGTGCCTGTTATGTGATGATGAGTGTGAAAGTGTGAGTCTCAACTAAACTATGCTTCCCAAATCTGGAGACCTTACCTCATCAAAGAGAGTGTTGCTCTGGAAAGAGTACAACGACGTGCGTCCAAGTTTATCCTCAATGACTATCAATCAACTTATATACAAGCACCGCTTAATATCTCTGACAATCCTCCCTCTTATGATGCAACTTGAGCTGAATGACATTCTATTTTTCATTCGCTGTCTCAAGGAGCCTGACACATCACCAGCTTTTCAAATTCAATCCTTCATGAACTTTTCCAAAGGTAATACCCGCTCCACTACTTATCTTAAGTTGAATCACTCCTCTTCTAAAACATCTTCTGCAGCCCACTTTTATTTTAACAGACTCCCTCGGCTATGGAACTCTCTCCCTCCGATAAACTTGGAACTATCTCTCCAATCTATCAAGCGTCATCTCTTACAATTCTTTTGGAATCACTTCAAAACCAACTTTCAGAGTACAAATCCATGCACTTTTCACTTTCTTTGCCCATGCGCTAAGTGTTCCAGTACATCAATAACAACCTGTTTCTCTTCAGTTACTACGTCTTAGGACACCAGTACTCCCAAACTGGTGTTCCTCGAGTACACTTCTTATAATACCAGTTCATTTCTTATGTATATAGCATCCTATTTATAGATCGCATTGGTACATGTAAAATGCTGAGAAATAATAAATGTGGTGTGGGAGTGTCCAGCATAGTGCAGTAGCTAGATAGTCTAGAACAATTTCGTAGATTGCTCGCAGGGGTGCTTCGGTGGATGATGAGGTGCGGTTTTGAGGAGTGTGAGCATTCTACCAGTCGCTTGATGTGATAGTTTCAGAAAGCCTCCTTATTTAGGTAGTGAGCTGTGAGAATATAATTTAGGTTACTTTGCTTCTTAGCCTTGTATTAAAGGTTCTTATTTTGGATGTTGAAAGGTTGACGATAATCCAGCGTACACAACAGACCCAGTCTCATAGTGCATCTGGGAGCTGCCGAGGTACGAAGATATGTCGCGAGTGGTGAGTTGAGCGTGTCTGGGAAGTGAGACAGAGACCTCATTGTCCTATAGTGTATAATGTTCGTTGTGTATGTAGTCCGTCCAATTGTGCTCTGGTGACGTGGTCTATGGCCCTAGTGCATCTGGCAGGCCAGCCTGAGTATTATTGTGAGAGCGGGGCGAGCCAACCTAGTCGTTCGTTCGATTCCGGCTGGATTTTATCTGTATAATAACGTCGTACGCCGTAAGTGGCATGACGCGGCTATCGTACGCGCTTCTTTTATATTTACAATACGCATGTAACGACGCAGTAGATCTGTCTGATGCGTCTCGCGAGAGAGAAAGCTGTGCGCTGACGTGCGTGATGCACGCCCGACTCGGGCAAATCCCAAGTTGAGTCGTCCAGCTCGCAACAATGTTCACATTTCCACTAGTAAAGGCTATTATTATAGATATACCAGGAGCCAGCGCTTGTGAGTCTGAACTATGAGATTTCACAAGCTTTATGTCAACGTTCGTTCGCATTATAAAATCAGCCTGTGTATCGCTGTCTCGTTGCGCCTAGTGGCAGAAAACGTGGTAACAGACCCACAAAAAAACTACTGTAACCCTTGCTGCGCATGCGCGCCGAGGGTTAAAAATGGTATCGCTACACCGCGGCTGCACTGTGAATCTTTGAAGCAAGCGGGTGACCGTCCACACAGTGTGCGTGCGTATGCACGTACTGTCTAGCCTGGCTTATCCAGGGACGAAGCAATGTCTGATGGTAATAGGACTAGCTATACAAACAGCTACACTGCTAGGAATTGATATTGTACGCTGGCACTCTAAGGCTAAGCAAGTAGGCGAATGCATGGCATTTTTGGCTAGCGGGAGCGAGCACACAATGACTGAATCTGCACGTGCCATCCTAGCCTATTTTCTATCTTGCACCTTGGAACCAAGAAGATTGGAAGCAGTACAGCCTCGGTCAGCACCGAAGAGTGCAACGAAAGCTATTGAATGGACGAGAGTTCTGTCGCTCCCCTTATAGAAAGCGAGCCTACTTAGTCGTCTGCATGCAAGAATGAACTGCTCGCGCTCGCTTGCCAAGATTGCGTGGCATTCGTTCTACCTAGCTTAGTATGTTTGCTTCCTCTCTCGATGTGCACACACGTAGCTACCTCAACGCATACGCACTTGGACGACAATCGTCCTTTCACTTGACGACATTATGCAACGGCCTGTGTCCCTGGGAACGACACGACCAAGAAAATTCACGTCCGTATAATTATCGGTGCAGCCAATACAACATGTGAATACACATCGAGGGAGGAAGCAAGCAATCAATTATTAGCGACCACACACGAAACCTATTGCCAAACGTCGCTGTAGTTGACTAGCTGAATTGCTGTACGATGGGGATCAGGTACTTAACCAAGTTCGTTGATAGAGGGCTCGTGCGTCGAAAGCGCGAGAGAGTGCAGGGGACGCTGGTAGTGGACGGGAACTGCATCCTCCACTCTCTGCACACCATGGAATGGTCCAACGGAGGTCAGTACAGGGAGTTCAGAAACGCTGTTTGCCGCTTTTATTCCAATCTCCTGGAGTCTGGAATCACACCCATCGTTGTGTTCGACGGCGTGGACGAGACGCAGAAGATAGATATTCTCCTGGGGAGGAAGAAAGAGCGGCTGATAACCATAGACCGAAACATAACTAGGAACGCCTCTCGCCAGGCAGTGTGCAAGGGGCATATTCTGCCTCCTCTTACTAGTGAGGTCTACCGCATGGCTCTTTACGATCTCGAGATCCAGTTTTATGTAGCTGATGGAGAGGCAGATGTAGTCATCGCCAGACTGGCCAACCACTACCATTGCCCAGTCCCGTCTCTGGATTCGGACTTCTTTGTTTTTTGCTTAGTCGGAGGTTTCATTCACTTTAAGTATTTCGACTGGGAGTCATATCCAGCAACTGCCGTTTTCTACCATCGTGATTGGTTTGCTGGTCAACTTTGCTTTAGGGATACAAGCCTCATTTGTATGATTCCAGCTCTTGTGGGCAATGATTTCATGGAGCCATGCCATCCATATTTCTTAAAATTAATGGTGTGCTCTGTGAAAAGTCCTAGAGTAAGAAAAGTATGTTGCCACTTGAGTAAATTTAATTCCGTCAAAAGCTTCATAGAAGAATCATTCGGGGGGAAAACACTGGAGCCCAAATGTCTGAAAGCTCAGCAGTGGTACGAAGGTTCGCAAGACCTTAGTTGCGAAGAACTAGTACTATCGACAGATCTAAGGCACCACAATGGCAGCGAGTTTCCTAAATGGTTGGTTAGACTCTTTCACCTGGGTCATATCCCATCATCTGCCATGGGTGCAGCAGTTTCATGCAAGGCCATTTTTCGTGTTGTTGCTGATAATTTCAAGAAAGATAGCTCAGTGTTAGCAGCGAAACCCATCCAAGAGCGCATGTATGCTTTGCTAGAGGTCCAAACTGTAGTTGAAGTCGTTCGTTCTGGGTTGACCTTAGCAAAACTCAAAGCAAATACCAAAGAGCGAGAGTACAGAGCTGTTACGGCAACATCAGTTAGTTTCCTCAGCCACCAAGAGAGGCAGAGTCTATTTTATGAAATCCTTGAGTGTAGCAAACAAAACATCAACCTCAAGCTGAGTGGGAGCTACCAAGACTGGAGGTTTGTGGCAGCCACTGTCAGGGTCTGGGCCAGAACTACATGTCCTCCTACATATCTAGTCAGATCTCTACTCCTCAGTTTCACGCTCTGCTCTTGCTTGCCTGATGAGAGTTTCAGACGCTTGAAAGTGCCCCTTTGGTTTCGCCAGAGCCAAGAGTGGCTGGACACGCTGCATTGGTTCTGTTAGTGGCAAGCTATCTACCACGCAGCGTGGACCCTGAATGCCCTCCTCATGGAGCCAATGTGGGTGTTCTCTCCTGCTTTCCTCTATGACGGTGAGCTGGCCATGTACCTCGCTAGCTCAGGGGACACCAGTCAGTTGATGGGTGAAGTTGACATGGATCTCTTTAACTGTCTGGAGGAAATTGTTCTTAGTGCTGAACAAGTGACTCCATCAGAACAGAAAAAGCATCAGACGAAGGACACATCTTCTCAACACTCAATTGACGACCAACAGGGTGCTGTTGGTACACAGATACGGAGAACACCATCACAACAAGTAGAGGGACGAGCAATGCCTAATGAGCCCGCTGGTGAGCATGAAGGCTCAACTGAAACACCTAGCACTGCCGAGGCTCAGGTCTTGAGTCAAGAATGTGTTAAAGCAAAGCCCAAGAGAAAGCGGTCAAGGCGTAAGAAAGCCCGCACTAGCACTGGCAGGGTTGAAGTTGTAACCTTCAATGGAGCAAGTACCAGTACCACAGACAAACATTTAGATAACCCTTCCACAATCATACCCTCATCACAAACTTCTGCAAAACTACCTGTTAAAGTAAAACCCCTAGGTGCTACACCCATGGCCAGTACAACAGTACAAGCTTCTGAATTAGGCTTTGGACAGCCACCTTTGAGGACAGCTGGTCCTAAATCAGATAGGATGTGTGACACCTCCAAAAGCCCAGGACAACAACCCTCCCCAGCACTCAATGGGTTATCAGCTAATGCAAAGCGAAGGAGATACAGAAGGCGACCGAACATGAACAAACAGAAGAGCACCACAGAGTAAGGCAACTATTACACTACATACCTAATGTTGTCACTTTATCTATCTGCTATGTGTACAAATCAGTGTCATTAGCATTAGCCTCTTGTAATAAGACATGTTATGTTGTTGATGTTCATAATGTTATCACTTCATTTATTTACCACTGAAGTGTAAAAATCAGTGTCATTACCTATCTTTTACCCATTAGTCTCTTGTAGTAGCAAGCACTAAGACATGTTGTTTGTGTTCTAAACTCCTCAAGTATAATCACGTACTGCATTGACACAAAATCATCGCAGTACAAATGAGGTAATGCATAACAAAACAGGGTGTGGCATAACAGCACGTAAGTCAATGTATATAACATGGTGACAGGTAAGTACAATATGATAGGCTACATTACTACGAAACATGACCATAACACACGACAACAGACAAATCTATGAACAGCTACTTGTGTACAGTCAGGTAGACGGTATAGCACTAACGTGACATACCCCTCTCCTCAAGTTCCAATAGTCTCGAATGTTGGACGATAACGACCTGGTGGTCTGTGTCACGGATGACCTCGCCTAGGCTGACATGGTCTGGGGCATCTTTTCTTCCCTTGCTGCATGGTGTGGTTCTTGTGAGGCTTCCTTCTTTTGACCGTGCTGCTCTACTGACGAGCTAGCCCCTGGACGAGATAAAAAGGGTGCTGAGTGTGGGGTATTCATCGAGGGCAACTTATTGCCAGAATATGTCCAGAACCGGTTGTGATGGACAATCTTCGGCTTCGAGTTCGGGTCTTGTTGAATCCGATGCAACACATCATTTTTACGATCCTTTACCAGGTATGGTCCTTCCCACAGTCGGCTATGATTGGGGGATACTCCTTTCTTCCATTTTGGATTATTTGCTGTCCTGGCTCGAGTGGCTGTGCTTTTGTTAATGTACCATTCGCTCTGTTGAGATTGGATCTTTCCCTTGCTTGCATGTTGATAAACTTTGTCCAATCGAGCCTGTAGCTGTGCTACATACTCTGTGTCAGCTAGTATATCATTTTACCTCTCAAAAACAAGATGGCAAAGCTATTGTAAATCAAGTGAATCTTTATGACATAGTTGATTGTCGCCATAAGAGTGCCACCCACACTGAGACAACTCCATTCACTCTACTGTATTGGCTGCAGTAAAGCGTGCCTGTAGAGAGGGGTGCATTAACATACACTCAATGTGTGGTTTTACCCAGGTGTAAAGTGTATGCATAGGGTAACATTATAGAAACTGTGCTCCAGTCGGTATTGTGCACGCACCTGGCCACCCTTTTGGCAGTTGGCATGGCGCTTTACAGCCATTACTAAATTCCGAACAAGCCTCTGTTTGCTTCAGGGCCAAGTGTAAATAGGGAGGTGGATTAACCTATGTGATTTCAGGTTTTCCTTTGTGTTGTGTTGTAGATTCGAACCTCTACCATCTGAGTTGCCCTGGTAGCTCAATTGGTAGAGCACTCGCCTTCGCTCGCCTAGATACAATGACTGTGACTACCTATGGCTAAAGAGCAGCACTCCCGAGTCAATCTACCATCATGTGAGTATATATAGCCCCATTTTTTGATTCTATGTACCACCATGTAATATATGGGGACTGGAGTCCCCATGTCATCATATGGGGACTCCAGATTGCCATCATAGGCATTCTGCCACATGCAATCAGTCTTATTGTGTACCAATGCCAGGGTCTTACACTTCTTAGTATGTGTCAGGATAGGAGTTTTCTCTTTGTGTAATTGTAGCTATACCACAGTGAAATGGGTGCAGGGTCCCCTGAGCTATTACGTCCATGGGTGTCAGTTTTTGAGAGAGTGGAGAGTAAGCGTATGACTGCCACGTTTTTTACATTATTGCAGGGGAGAGTCGGGATCAATACAGACAAGCCAGAAGAGGCACTCTCGGTCAATGGCAATATCAGAGTCACTGGCTGCACTGGCAGATAGAGTTGGGCTCAATGCTGGGTGTCATGCTAGCATTTCTTCTGGGGTAAGTATTCTAGCATTGTTCATTTGATTAGCAACATGCCTCCATAGTTTTAGAAGCATTATTATGATTTATGATTTCTTCTTGCAGGTGCTTTGTGACATTCATCCTCATGTGCTTTAGTAAATGGGTCATCTGCTAACACACAGTAGCTGCTGTATATAATCACAGTTTTTCACAGTTATCAGAATCAGTTTTTTATCATCACACAGTCATCTTTTTTATCATCACACCTGCTTTTTTTTTCTACGAACTTTTCACATGCAGCTATTCGCTGTCTTGTACTACACAATTTGTTACCAGAATCGCAGTTATATCAGAATCAGTATCATTATTTTATCATCATACAAACTTCAAATTTTTACAGGATATATATACAAACATCCAAGTTGTTAACCCTCGGCGCGCATGCGCAGCGAGGGTAGTTGGGTCTGTCTGTGTGTCTGTTACTCTTCATCTTCTTTCGTCTCACAAAGGATACCACCTACCGAACGGGCAATGAAGGTCAGAAATTTCGAACGGTTTTCTCTGAAAACGCTCCGTTGCAAAGCTAGAGCGCTTCCACCATTGTATATACGGCTAGTCGGCCATTTTTATCGCTGCGGAACCGGAAAATGCGCATGCGCTTATATTTAGCACAGGACCGGGTTTGCTTGCTCTGTGTATTTTGAAGGCACAAGAAGTCACAACGAAGGGCGTGTATCGACTCTCGCATGCTAATCTACTACTGTAGCTAGCCCGTGTCAGACTCTGCGAGCTATATTATACTAGCGGGAGACCACATACTAATATACCGCGCATGCGCAGTTCGCCGAGGGTTTGCACTTCAGTGCTTTTTCATTGTTAGAAACAGTATAAAGTGACTATGCATAATAATAAATAATAAATAGGGTGTTAATGAGAATTGATTAGTAATAATGAAAGATTGTTCTGGAGGCGAAAAAACGATGGGAAGTGACAGAAAAGTGTAGTAGGTGTGGTACAAAAACTAGATGGCTGATTCAGTTTTGGACGATGATGGACGACGAGTGAAGCTGTGGACCAGTTTCTTGCTGGCAGAGTTGATCTTGGTCTTGATGGAGGTATCCTGGTTCCTCCTCTTCCCCTCCTTCTGCGTTCTCTTGACTGAGACTGTGGCTGGGGTGAAGGGTGGCTGACTGCGAGGACCAGGGGCTGTCTGGTGGACAGGGAGTCTGGATATCTGAGGACCTGTCACTGGAGACGACGGGAGATGGACTCTTCCAGTGTACCCACCCACCCTCTCCCAGTGAGGGAGGAAGTGTGGGAGGCAGTCGTTCTCGGCCATTTCCAGCATGAAGTAGACCTCTCGCGGAGTCTCCACCACGTGGAAGACTCGGAGGACGCTCGGGTGGTTCAGACGACGGACGACGGCCATCTCTCGAGGCAGGAACTTGTCCAGAACTTCCTGTGAGGCTCCTCGTTTCTCCAGTATCTTGATGGCGATCTGAATGGGAGAAAAACATCAGTAAAACAAGACGTAGCTATAGCAAAGTGCAAACTGAGCATGCAAGAAAGTGGGAGGGGCTCACCATTTCCCGCTCGTGTGGACTCCACGCTGCCTTGACTTTGGCGTAGGTCCCAGAGCCGATGGTCTTGCCGATAGAGTAGTGTAGCTGCTCTGGACTCGTGACGCTGTTCCTGAAGCAGTAGGGTAGAGACTGGTGGTCGTCCGAGGAGGAGGAGGCGAGTCGCTGACCACGAGAACTGTTGTATCCAGCTGAAGACATCTTGAAGTTTCGTCGGAGGAGAAATGAACTGGTAGAAAATTCGTCGGAGATTTCTGAGATGAGATGAACTGGTCGCAGATTCGTCGGAGGTTTCGGAGAAGAGATGAACTGGTCGGCTGAGGCAACTGGTGAAATTTCCACGGACAGTATATAGGAACTGATGATGGTTCCCGAGAGTGGCCGCATTTTATGTTGGCTCGTTCGTGCGTCACAACTTGCCTCGCCCTCTCTGTCCGAGAACGGTCGTACCGCCATTGTTTCCTGTCGGCGACCTCGTTACTAGGCTGGCAAAGAAGGGTTTACCAATCAGCCTAGAAAATGGTTTTTAGTTTATCAATCAGGCTTGAAAATGGTTTTGCTTCTACGTTGATTACTGGCGCTCCTAAAATGATTTTTAGAGCCACGCATACCGTACGGATTTTGCACATGCGCACACGGGTACATAGTATCAACCACAACATACACAACATGACTCTAGATGAAAAAAGAGCAAAATTGAAGGAACAAAAAAATGATAAAATTCATATATTAAAAATCTGTGCATAGCTACACACACAAAGAAGCTTAAAATGCAGGACTTTGGAACATCATGATAAAAAGAAAAACAAACTTAGATTATTAGTATTTTTATGATTTGTTGGTTGGCTCTGTTTGGCACGACAGTTCGTAGAGTTCGTTTTCAGATAGTCTCTTGGCAGATGTCAAGTATGCAATGATCTGTAAATGAGAGAATTGGAGAAATTCTACTAGCCAACTATATAAGTGGTTGGCAGCATTGTAGCTGGAGATTTCAGTACTGTGTCAACAAACAATGTGATGTTTTGAACATTAAATCTATTCTTGTGTCGATCTACATTCGTTCTGCAGTTATGTGAAATCCACGCTATTATGAACTATTCACATCCCAGTTACGTGTAGCTAAAAGACCATTTTCTTATCACTGACTGGGAAAATATTATTATATATCCTTCAAAAAGGAATAGTGGACCTACAGTACAGTATTATCAAGTACAGTATCTTAGGTCAATCCGTGGCTCAAACTTGACATCTCGTTCGCTCTGGTATACGAGTGCACGTCCCACCATATCTGCCAACTGCATAATAATTATTACATCATGACATTAATACAAATGCAACTCTAATCTCAGAAAACTATTTAGGTCTCCTCTATCAATGATGATGTTTTGAGAATAGGGGGAGAAAATGTCGCCAAAAATCAATACTGCTACACAATATCTGCTGACAAACAGATTGTTCAACTCTACAATCGTGCAGCAGGCATGGTGTCTCTAAAGGTAAGGGACATTTTGTCAACCTTTGTCATCTTGGTGAAGTTGACTAGGCCGTCCTTGTTGTACTGTTTTGGTGCACATCTCCAGTGAGTAGATCTGGTCCAGGTAGGCTCCAATGTATGGCAGGGCTGGCAGCTCACTATAGTCATACAGTTGAGTATTATAGCAAAGAATACTGAGTACTGAAGTTAGTAATCTGAAACAAATTGGACTCTAAATTGGATACGTTTGTCTGTATGTATTATAGAACGATGGGTGTGTTAGACATATTTGTGGAAATGCAACAAAATGTAATCTCCCCTTACGTATCTTGGATTGAAGTTGATATAACCTTAATACGCATGTAGATGATTTGCGAGGAATATCAAGGATAAGGTACATTCTGCCTATCAAATGTCAGAACCGATTTTGTGGGATCTATGAAACAGTTGCTCTATGTAAAACCCATGGCACAGTAGTAAGAGGAGTGGAGGTGCGGTATATAACTGTGTCAACAAACCCAGTTTCGGAGGTGTTCAGATGTGGTTGCTCAGTCTCTCTCTCAGCTTCTAGGCAGACGCCCAGCGACCTTGGTAGTCGTCTGACAGCTCTCGCAGCTTACATTCAGTTCTGATCTCGAAACTGCAACCAGATGTGTACAACAATGTTAATTGTAAACAATGTTAATTAAGGCATATTATGTATGTACGTAACATTAGGACTATAGTTAGTAACCGGATTAGTAGATGGACAGTGGTAGCGTAATATATAAACAGGTCACGCAGAAAGAGAGAATAGCAGTAATTTCGGCCCGAGAGACAAACTCAGATGTTGTGAGCTGCGCAAGACCAGTGTACTACGTACTAAGCACTGAGCTACGACTCCCTGAACAAGAGCCAATCCCTCTTGTACTACTGCCATAAAGCAGACATCGCGCATATCCTTTTCCTACTATACGGCTAGTCTCAACTTCACAGCGGCGGATCCAGGGGGATTACTTGGGCTTCCACAGAAACCCTCCATTTTGTCGTTTTGCGCGCATGCGTCGCCAGCCCTCGTCGCGCGACACACGAGCGCAGTTGAAAACATTCTGAGCAGCGGAAACCCCTTTCAGAATCCTAGATTCCGCTACTGCTATCAGCACGAGTTTGCCCAGTGCATAGTCGTGGTCCCTGACTACTTTCTACACGGCAACATTCCCTTCAATGGTGCACTGTACGTAGGTATGGCAACAATAATACTTTCTACCTTCTATCGACTTCCTCCCAAGTTTCCGAAGGTCCTCTCTAATGATGGCGGATGGATAGAGCAATGGATGATGTTGACCGCAGAGAGCAGTGGACTGGAGGTCGTTTCGTAGTCGGTAGCAGTAGACGGGCAACTCGGATGAAATTCTCAATCCGGTCGCCCGACTGCCTCGCACGAACTCTACGAACCAAAGATCTCCGTACATACCCATGATGTCATATCCTGTGGTTAATAGAGGTGCAGCTAAACTGGTGATACCAGTTATAGATCGGACCTTCTAAAATCTCAAATGTATGGCATAATGCAGGACAACCTGTGTCATCCAACATACTAAGTCTACCGCTACGTAGTGATACGATACGCAAAGAGCCTCATATGAATGTATCGTACTGCTGCAACAATTAATCATAGTCACAGACTAAAGCACGTATAAGCTATCACGTTGCTGCAAGTAAGCACCTCGTTCGTTCTATCTCTGATGAGACGAGCAAGTAGCCGTTAGGAGCCTTCTACTTCTCTGTCAGGTTTCTTCCAGTCACATTCAGTAGAGTTCTCTGTGTGGCCAAGAGTGGACGAGAGACTTATTATAGGTAAGTCGAGACAGATGCGACCAGTGGGAAAATAAGGCTTAATTAGGAGATAAGGATAGTTGCAGCAGAAAGAGTAGGGGATAGGGGACAGTAAAACATAGTTCAAAGTGTATTAGGGACGGTTTATCCCTTCATTCCCTTGTGTGCCCACAAACTGACCGTCTTCTCACTGCCTTGTAGACGGCAAACTCGAGCAGAGTCATTTGCTCCGAGATGACCTTCGCATGTTCTCTTTGGAGTCCTTTGAGAAGCTCTTGCTCAGATCAATGTGCCTGCAGCCTGGCTGCTTCTGACTGGTGTCCCACGTGAAGTGTTTCACCAGGTCAGGCTACGTAGGCGAGGCAACAACAATACAGTAAAAAGGAATAGTTTACAAGATCAGGGATAATGGCGAGCGAAGCGAGCCCACCTAGGCGTCTGAATGCGGAATTTTTACAATATCTGAAACGGACCCACGGACCAACATACCGTAGTGTTTACGTGATTCTAAATACGCGCTAAAAAACTTGCGAAATATTGAAATGCCCGCTTCGCTCGCCAACAATGCAATTGCATTCCTCTAGTTCTACATATGGGAAGTGAAGCACTGCATCAAGTGAAACAAAGAAGGCAATTGTATAAAGGTGATACAATACGTTTGCCAGAAACTATTAATAGCGAACACAATGTCAGGGGTTATATCATTACGTCGAATTGTGAACGTCAGACGACTAGGTAGGCTCATACGTTTGCCAACGGATTCAAACACAACCACTAAGTTTTATATTATAGTAAAAATGTTGCGATTAAAAACATATGTACACAGTGCATCATGTCTTTAGAGACTGAAACGATTATGACAACAAATATAATATGAAGTGAACAAATAGACTGTGCTACTACATGATTATTATTACCTCCGATGATATGTCGCCTACTGAGAAGCGAAGGGGATGACGGGTCACTGCGACATACCCTGCAGTCTTTTTCGCACATCACGCAGAGTAAACGACAGTGACAACCACATGAAACTCTATCTCAACACGAATAATATTTTTAAAAGAGGCAATTTTGTCATTTTTCTTCAGACACGCGATTATTGGATGCGGGGTTGCTAAAAATGGTACGGATGGTTGTGCGACGACATAGTTGCCCGCACTGCGTAGTTCTAAGCTTATTGATGGGGTGCGTAAAATGGTACGAGGTTGTTGCTACTCCACTAGTTGCCCACTGCTTAGTTCTGCGCTTCTTGATGGGGTTGTACGATGGCTGTGCTAACTAACATAGTTGCACCAAAGCTACGTACTGAGCTTCTGCTGGGTTTGGTACGATGGTCTTGTGCTAACGACACTAGTTGCCACAGCGCAAATATTGCACTAGTGCAAGACGAAACTAAACGCGAGTATTTCTCTGTCCCATGAGGCTTCGCTGGAGTCAGAGCAACTGGTGCCAGGAGTCCCCTCAGGAAGTGCCCAGATCAGTGTCAGACTGCGTCCTCCCAAAGTCCTGAGAATAAAGAGGGCATCATTTAGAGCAACACATAGATTACAATTTGTAACGATAAAGTTTGGTGATCATGCGGTAAGTAACCACTTTTCCATTTATAAAACGGATTTCCCCGGCTATGCAAGATTAGAAAGCTCTATGTGGTAATCAGAGAATTACGAGGAGAGAGAAAAGCATAGCAAATGAGTGAGTGCTAATCAAGTACATCACATGTATGCATACAGACCTCAAAGTGCATGTCCTGCCAGTAGTCGATGACCTGGAATATCTTTACCACCAGAGACATTGCGTCCGGATCTGCTGAAACTGCCCTCGAGTGCTGGGAGCCGTTGCCGGTTTCAGTCAGTGGTTCCAGCTTTAGTATATGTATATGTATACAGGTTAAAAGAATACAGGATAGCCGCATAAAATCATGATTGGCGAGTGAGACTACTTAGGCTAGGTCACAATATGTTCATTGCCCTGTCGCACCGTGCCACATCACGCACCGCGGGGATAGCTTCGCGGCACAGGACATGACGGGGCAATGCAAATCAGTGGCAGATCAGGATTTTGAACAGGGGGTCCGCTGTCCAAGAATGTTTCGACTGCGCTTGTGCACTCGGCACTGAGGCCGGCGACGCGTGCACTCAAACGATAAAAGGGCGGTTCCGCGGAACCAAAGAAGCTGAATCCGCCACTGAACAATAATAAAACATAATTGTGAACCTCAGTTAGCATAAGTACACACCTGTCTCAGATACAGAATTCTTTCTTCGTAGAGACAGCCTCCTGGGAGCTCCCTCGATGGTGACTGATGCTCCGAGACTCGACTACCCACGTCGACAATATCCTCCGCGTCGAATTGAGCGACTTTTCTTCGACTGTTTCTCTTCCAATCCCTTCAGACTGCTAACACGCACTGCGACCGGACACTTGCCGACTTTTGCGGTGTCTTCGTCCCCGTTTTCGACCGCCGCTGTGCTGGTGGTAGTAGAATGAGGGAAATAAGCAGAGGAGCTTTAGTAGAGCCGGTCGTTTTCCGCAGTATCGTGCAGGGATTGCCCTCATCGGATCTCTTTCCCGTTTCCGCCATGACTCTGTCGTTTTCATGACTCGATTTGCTTCCAAACGGACTCATGACGGACCTTTCGCCGTGTTTCTTGTGTTTTCCGGACATTGTAAGGCTGCTCTCTGCCGGTACATGTGTCGGACTGCTCAAAGGACCCTACCATCAATCTATTGGTGTGTAGAGGGATCTCATGCAGGACACCGTGAGGAAGGGAGAGAGGAGAGAATGAATGACTGGCGGAGTGATTGGTTCATGAGGGAATTGGGAGCCTGTCGTGTCGGCGTCCAGGTCTCCGGGTCGCGAAGGTGTTTGGTATCAGGATGGAAACTTGGCCATGCACCCTCTCTTGATGGGTGGTGGACTGGGGCTCTTCTCTATACCAATCTATGAGACACACAGTTCCACATAGTTCAATAAAAGATAAAAACCTCTGTCCTTCTGTAAAATACATTTGTAAACGTATAAATCTCAAATGTATTAGCATAATGCAGGACAACTTGTGTCATCCCTATATACTAAGTACTACCATATTAGTGGATATATCATTGTACCTCTTATACTTAATGGTGTTTCCAAGAACAACCCTTATTATGACATGTCCCCCAAGGAAAAACATTTATGACTGACGTGAAAAAAGAACTCTTTTATAAAGAACGTAATACAGTGTCCTTTTTAAGAGAGAGGTGTCACTCATGTCAGGAGGAGGGGTAGGTATCTCAAACATAACCAGGTCAGGTCAGGACTCGGAAATGAGGCCGGACCGGTAGTAGAATGGCGAGGACTTTTTCCAATCTCTGTGCACCCTCTTCACCACCCCTCCCCCCTCACCCATCCTACCCCCCTCCCATCTCCACCGGAAACAGACTCTGCGTCAGCTTCTCCAACATGATCGCTGTCTCGTCCAAGTCCCGGTTGATCTTCTCTGAGATGGTGAGTTTCCGTCTGTCTACGGCCGTTTGGACGTGGATTCTGCCATCGCCTTGACTCCCTTCTTCCTCTTCGATACTCATCTCCCTGATTTTGAAGTGCTCCGCTTCTGCCCTCACTGAAGACATGTCTCCATTCTGTAAGATACATCATGTTGTATGTATGCTGAAGTTAACTTACTGTATGTATGTAGATTACCAGTTAAGACTATATACCTTACACAATTCGTACACACTCTACGGGCAAGAATACGGGGGCTTTTTAATGATTAACATGCCGCTGGCAAGCAGATAATCACGTGGTGGAGTCCCCGCCTATCTCGAGCGCCATAGCGCCAAATTCCCACCCCTGCTAACTTTTTACGAAATTCGTACACACTCTACGGGCAAGAATACGGGGGCTAAGAGAGCTCAACAAACATCGCGTAAATGTGCAATACAGATAAGTTGTGTGGAAAACTTAGTGAAAAAATCAGTGCAACTCCATGGTGACTTAGACATTAACATTAATTACTCTAATTCAGATACAGTATTGTACATTGGAAAGGGGTGAAAGAGAACAGTGCAAGTAGAAGCGAGATAGTGTTGCTATTCCACCCTTCAACTAAAGTCAAAGTATTAGAGAGGCTAGGTTTGTCATTTCGTATACGTACGTCCCTGCAAAAAATGCAAAACTGTTCAAACCCTGATTGGGGGTGAAAGAGAACAGTGAAGTAGAAGCAAGATAGTGTTGCTATTCCACCCTTCAACTATAGCAAAAGTACAAGAGAAGCTTGGTTTGACCATCAAAATCCCCAACATGTTTACGCAGACCTAGGGTGACTTCGAAATTTATAGTTACTCTAATTCACATACAGTATTGTACATACACATATTATACCTTAGCACATGCTCTGCTTCGTAGGCCCATGAGGTCAGCATGGGACGGTCGTGGGGTGTCAGCACTGTCGTCGTTTCCACTGTCCTCGTCTCCGAAATCCATCTCCGAACTGTTTCGAGAGGATCGGAAGAACATCACGTAGTCTGTCTCTGAATCACCTGCAGCGGAAACGGTTCAATATTTAGTGGAACTTGGAAGCGTGTGCCTCCTTGTACTTGTAGAGTGGTTTGTAGAGTTACAAGGCAATGTGGCAGTTTAGAGCTGGGTAATTGAAATCGCGCAATCTGATTGGTCCATGCGTGGACTCTAATTGTACATAGAATGTTTAGTAGAGTTAAGGGAATGTGGCCGTATAATAAGGGCTAAATTTAGAAAATGTTGCTAAAGACTGAAACCTAATTGCACTGGGCCCTTCCATTTTTAACAGTTCTATGTTTAGCCAAAAATTAGAAACATCACACAATTCAGACAACATTTCATTTCAAACATGCCACTGTTTTATACGTCGCATGCACAAAGCACTATGGTGTATGAACATGGCCACTGTAAATCGTGCGCAATTAGGACGAGCTAGGGTCGCTCTGTTTGGCAATCACTTACCAGAGCTGGCTCGAGGATAGCCGGACGGGATCTTGAGATTGCTGCTCCATCCGTTCTGGAGGATCCCGTTCTCCACTACGGCCGACGTGTGGGGTGACACGTCGCTGTCACTGGTACTGACACTCGTCCGAAGTGAAGAGCTCTAATATGAGCGACGGAAGAAAGATATTTAGTTAGACTAGGAAAAGAGAGTTTTTTATATTTCAGAAGATCTGCACACTTATTATAGACTAGAAAGCACTGGTACTGACACTCGTCCGAAGTGAAGAGCTCTAGAGTGACGGAAGAAAGATATTTAGTTAGACTAGGGAAAGAAGAGGTTTTCCCCCAGATTTTAGAAGATCTGCACACTTATTGTAGACTAGAAATAGAATATTATGCTCCCACATAATATGTGTCCTATAAAGGTATATAGGTAAGAAAGAATGAAGTAAAGTGAAAGAGGAAGATGGTGTGTTCACCTTTATAGGTGTGCTGGTAGAAGAAGACATGGCACAGGTCCTTGCTCTAGTTGGTACCGGTGAGTTCAGTGATACTGCACGCAGAGAGAGAGAGAGAGACACGTAACTATATGAACACAAGTTGAATTACAATACATATGTACGTATATGTATCCATGCAAAGTTCAAAGCAAAAGCAAAGGCAAACAGCACAGCTACATCAAGGACGACTCCTTTTCTCCACGAGAGGGTTTTATTAAAGGCACAAGAGTTCCTTTATATACCATCATGTATAACTTATCACTTATAACCAGCCAGACACATAAATGTGTCCAGAGCCTCAATAAGTCCATAAGAATTTATATGGGGGTTATAATACTAGGCGCTAATACTTTATACATCAATTTCTGCTTATTTAGGCAGATATCCATGGCGTCCAAAGGATTATCCTTACTTTGATCCGTGTCAGAGTATTCAGTCACATTCATATGTCTGTCAGTTTCAACTGGCTCTGCAAGCAAGGGAATTTCAAATCTTTACCAGTTGTTGTAATCACGTGCAATAATAATATAATGCTTAGGGTGGCAACGTCGGATACAAACAGAATATCTGGAAATCAAACAACTAGGTATAGCTTGACTCGCAAACAATATACTATGCTGTACCTGATTCCATACTGAAGGGCTATACCTGATTCCATACTGAAGGGCTATACCTGATTCCATACTGAAGGGCTATACCTGATTCCATACTGAAGGCTTATACCTGATTCCATACTGAAGGCTATACCTGATTCCATACCGAAGGGCTATACACCTGATACCATACTGAAGGGTGAAGACAGCATTGGCAGAAAAGTGAGCTCCGCTATCGCTGAGTCCTCCGGCTGACTGCATGCAGTTGATGAGGGCTTCAAGGACATCGCGGGAAGTCGTGAAACTGAGGTGAGTCATCAGAAACACCTGTCAGGGAGGGAGCGAAGGGGAGTGAAAACGTACGACGAAAAGGGCGAAAATGGCATAAACGCGAAAATAGTGAAAATTGGTCTATCGTGTGCCATGGATGTCATTCTCCTCCAGGGTAGTGCTTTTAAAGTGTTGTCGTCTGGGTGTTTTAATAGTCAGTGGCGGATCTAGAATTTTTAATGAAAGTTCTGCTGTCCAGAACGTTTTCGACTGCGCGCTTGTACGTGCACGAGGCCGGCAACGCATGCGCGCAAAACGACACAAAAGGGGAACCCTCCCTCCCTCTCTTGGACCCGCCACTGATACGTAGTTGGATGTGTCTTGTGTTGACACGTGCATGATTCATGCAGAGTAAATGAACGATGAATGAAAAATAGATCTAAAATAATTATTTCAAGGTTTACTCAATGTTTCTCCTCACGTCAATAAAGTCGTCCTGGAAGTTGTGGGGACTTGTCAACTGTTGAAACAGCTTCTCCAGTGATGCCGCTGCAATCTGTGAATCACAAGCACGTGTCAATTCGCATCTCAGTATCAAAATGACATTTTTGCGGACAAAACTTTCGCAAGTTGCTTTTCCCCACTGATACCCCTACCAGAAGAAAATCTTGGCAGACACAACAGCTTTCAAAGTCAATTCCACTGTATATCAGCTACACAGCTGTCTAAATGCGGAATTTTTTTATGTAACGACCCACGGACCAACATACTTTACCTGATTCTAATTACGCGCTAAACACGTGCGAAATATTGAAAATGCTCGCACGTAATGTTTGCGTGATTGTAAATACGCGCAAAAGGCGCGTTGAACTTCTCGCACTCGCTCACCAAACAATACATTTCACTCCTCTAGTACTCCAGAATATCTTAATATTATGGTCATTGATGAGTGTTTGTGTGTGTACAAACCTTTGGGCCGCATCAGGGTAGACTTGAGCGAGAGGAATGTCCTCATTATCACACACAGACCCTCATGAGCCGCTCTTGTATACACTGTGGCAGTAGGACGGGCAATACATTGTAACTGACGAGCATTTAGGGTGAATGGCGAGCGTGCAGCCCGTTCAGCATTGCCTATGAATATCCATGCTTTGCGCACGAGTTAGAATTTATGCGGTCCATCTTCAATCAATCAAGTGGACATTTATAGATGCGCAATGCTCATGTACGTATATAGCAATCTTTCCTGGTGCACCCTTGTATGTAGTCAAGGCAACACTGCCGATTCTGTAGCTAGTTTATCGGCGTAAACACAAACTGTGCAGATGGCTATGACTTGCACAACATAATGTTGTTTCAAGAAACACGTCACCACAGAATATGCGAGGAAACGAAGAAGTGAGGAGGAAAAGAGGCAGAAAACAAAATACCATCTTCTGGGTGTACACAAGGATCATCTTTACTTCCTATGGCCTACAAACAACACGGCTAAGTGCTCCACATCATTACTTCCTATGGCCTACAAACAACATGGCTAAGGGCTCCACATCGTACTTCTATGGCCTACAAACAACACGGCTAAGGGCACACACATCATACTTCCTACGGCCTAGGGGTAAGGGCTCCATATTAGCAATGGTAATTATGGTCAATCAACAACACAACACAAAGGGAAAGAAGTGCAAAACTCTGTTTATTACGTACGTGTAGCTAGATGCTCAAATCAACAACACAACACTAAGGCACACAGAGTGCATAAACTCGTGCGCATGATGGAGTTACTGAACAAACTCACTATCATAGCCCCATACATCTATGATGCTAGGTATATACCATGCCCACTCCCTATATACTAGTACTATCCGTACTTAGTGATGAACAAAACTCCCTATATCATAGCCCCATACATCTATGATGCTAGGTACCATGCCAATCTCTATATACTTAGTACTACCGTATTTAGTGATGAACAAAACTCCCTATATCATAGCCCCATACATCTATGATGCTAGGTACCATGCCAATCCCTATATACTGAGTACTACCGTACTTAGTGATGAACAAAACTCCCTATATCATAGCCCCATACATCTATGATGCTAGGTACCATGCCAATCCCTATATACTGAGTACTACCGTACTTAGTGATGAACAAAACTCCCTATCATAGCCCCATACATCTATGATGCTAGGTACCATGCCCGTCCCTATAATATACTGAGTACTACCGTACTTAGTGATGAACAAAACTCCCTATATGATTATCATAGCCCCATACATCTATGATGCTAGGTACCATGCCAATCCCCATACATCTATGATGCTAGGTACCATGCCCATCCCCATACATCTATGATGCTAGGTACCATGCCCATCCCCATACATCTATGATGCTAGGTACCATGCCCATCCCCATACATCTATGATGCTAGGTACCATGCCCATCCCTATATACCAAGTACTACCGTACTATGTGATCCCTCACCATTTCCAGAGCCTCGACCCAAGCCTTTCTCAGATTAGGTTGGCCACTCTGAATATAGACTCTCCTTGCTCACAAACTGACCCTATAGTTAACAAAAACTGTGTGATTAAAAACTTTATGACTGTACGTATTTCGGATAATAAGATACTTATTACGTACTCGAGACAGTTACATTATCGTTAAGTAAATGTAGGCGTTGCACTTGCCACTCCGGTGTGGGCCATGTTGTAACCTAGAATACTTTCTTTGCAGCTACATCTATTATACGAGAGAAATGAAAGTTAATTTGTTGAAATCCTTAAGTTACAGCTTATAGCTTAACACACACTAACCTCCCCATTTTGCCATGTTAGTATGTGAAAAAAGAGATCGTTGCCATTGTTCGTGGTTGTGGTTGTGCAAAGTATAGGTAGAATTACTTCTCAGCTACATGTATACCGAGATAAAGGTATTTGACATCTCCAGAAAAAAGCAAAAGCTCATACATACAAACATCACATGGGCAACTTCTCTTGTGAAAGAAGACTGTTTTACGTACCTAAAAGCCAGTAGATCCTCTCCTCGTCCTGACTTCAGGTCAGCCGTGAGTGGTTGACCCTCAATATCCACTGTCTTATGGAGTTGAGCTCGATAGTGGATCATACGTGCTGTGGGGTGTGGTTGTGTTTGGGTGTGGTGAACGAGCGAGGATGAAGGCAAGGGAGAGACAAAACATCCATAGCAAGCAAATAAACACCCTACCCAAACGGTAGAAAAGATATGGAGGGGGAAGAGAGAAGAAGGAAAGAATACTAAGTTGAGCATGCAATCATACACTACTGCACTGGGAATGGCGCCATGGCCACTAGAATTAGGCATGAATTTTACTACGAAATTAAATGGGTTATTCAGCTTGAGTGAGCTCTAAACTAGGGGAGCAGCAGCAGCAGACCGTCGAGAATCTGAGGTGTTTCCAGTCTCGGCCAAGGCCAGTAGTGGAGAACAGGAGGCAGAATTTCGGGACTCCCTTCTCCTGCCATCACCTGAGTTCAGGGTCCTGCAGACGTTACATACATACATAGGAACCAACTGAATGGACACACCGAATGAGGGACACCTCTCTACTAAAGGACACTAGCCTCAGCAGGCAGGGCCCAATACTCAGTGGATACAGATAACTAGGTCCGTCACAATCGCCGGACGGACTAGTGGACTCGCACAAATTACGCCCATGCAAGACTTTGATATAGGTGAGTTGCTTCATCCTGCCTATACAAATATACGAGTAATATGGGAGCACATTGTATACATATTGCACCTTGTTTGACCAGTCGGGTGTTGGAATCAAAAATCTCTAGAGGGGACAGGAGACTCTGGGTCCAGTTTCTGGAGGAGCTTTATCTTCTCCTGAGTGTGGTCCCAGTCAGACTTTTCATCCTGGAGCTCCTGTGTAGGGGCGGAGGAACATCGGCGGAAAGTCAGGGGGAACGCAGAACTGTACTTGACCCAATTATAGTCAGTGTAATTTACTATTAATGCTCATGACGTACATATAAGTATGACTAGTATGTATACATAAGCAAACATGGACAGCACTTAAGATACAAGCTTAGTCCATAGCACATATATACACTGTAGGTTTTTAAACATGATGCTTTAGCATCTCCATTGACAACTCCGGCCATATACGTACATACCTAAATCAAAAGAGGCTTAAGTATACAGTATGTGGACAGTAAGAGTACAAGCTTATTCCATAGCACTTCTATAGCATATCTTCGCATCTCCATTGACACTCGGCCATATATGTACATCTCATAAAAGAGGCTACTATATACAATACTACGTATTTGATTTCCTGATGATCGGATGAGATGTCGGCTCTCCGGACCGACTGGTCCGATATCTCAGCTTCGGAGACGAAACATGTCAGCAGCTTTGAGTACTCTTCAGATGTGTGTGGAAGAAAGGAGGAAAGATGAGAGAGGGCTCAGCTACTACTGAGCTTAATCACTCATTATACAGAACATGTAATACACGGAACCTCTCTATAAGGACAATTAGTTTTGCCCCCATACCCAATGCATTAGTGTACCGAAAACAGTGGAACCTCTGAACAAGGGACACTATGGGGCCAATGATTTGGTCCTTGTAGAGAGGTGGTCCCTATCTAGAGGTCAAATAATACACTAAAGTATAGCATGGGGTTGAAACAAGTGTCCTTTGTAGAGAGGTCGTCCCTATCATCGAGGGTCCCTTATCGAGGTTCAATGTGTATCTATAGAGTCTCACCCTCTCACAAGGTAGAGTCAAAAGATGCTCGAGATCAGCTCCTCTGTCTCCTGATTGCAGTGCTCCAACAGTTGAACAAACTCCTGCTTTGTTCTCAGTGCCTATGAGCTCTTTATGTTTTGCGGAGGTAATATGGAGAGATGGAAGAAGAGGGGGAGAGAGGAAGGGAGAGGAAGAGAGAGGAGAGAGTAAAAGAAAGAGAAAAAGAGGAGAGCTAGTTTCTGCATGAGAAAAGCAAGCTACATACACGTATATGCCCCAATTTCATGAGTTCGAAGGCTGCATTTCAGGACTTGCTCAATCTCACCGAGACAGCTACATTGCTGCAGACGTAGTTTACATGTCGTGACCCCTGATTGTCGTTATGCAGCCAGCGCTGAGTCAACATGTCCCTAAAGCAACACACTACCAAAACAACTGTACTCTACTCCCATGTCAACGTATGGACATATCAGAGCATACTGCAGTGATGTAAGTGTATCACACTGTAAGTATATAGTTTCGCAGGGTTGCATCGTCATTGTTAGATGTAGGTATGGAAAATCCGTACTCTCGCTGATGACAGGGATGTTTATCCTGTAAAGTCCTCAACATTATATTAGACTCTTACACTAATCTATGGGGGTGGTGTGAAGAGACGGTTTATGAGGGAATTTTGGCCCTAGCAAAGTGCTTCACAACGTCACTGTACAATTAAGACATCACGGTTTCAACAGTGATGTTTATAAACGTGCATGTCCAACATGACCTAAGCCCTTACTCTGAGGTCCTCTTTCTAGTCTATCACTATTGCAGCAAAGTGTCAGAATCAGTCGCCAGCAGTTCATAGAGTCTGTTCTGAGTGAGTCTGTTCTGGTGAGTCGTTCTGAGTGAGTCTGTCTGAGTGAGTCTCTTCTGAGGTGAGTCTCTTCTGAGGAGTCTCGTCTGCAGTGGAGTCTGTTCTGCGTGAGTCTGTTCGAGTGAGTGTTCTGAGTGAGTTTCTTCTGAGTGAGTCTGTTCTGAGTGAGTCTGTTCTGAGTGAGTCTGTTCTGAGTGAGTCTCTTCTGAGTGAGTCTGTTCTGAGTGAGTCTGTTCTGAGTGAGTCTGTTCTGAGTGAGTCTCTTCTGAGTGAGTCTGTTCTGAGTGAGTCTCTTCTGAGTGAGTCTGTTCTGAGTGAGTCTGTTCTGAGTGAGTTTCTTCTGAGTGAGTCTGTTCTGAGTAAGTCTGTTCTGAGTGAGTTTATTCTGAGTGAGTCTGTTCTGAGTGAGTCTGTTCTTAGTTGCTCGTGTCTCAAGGTGTGTTTTTGTCATGTGTTGAGTCTGGATGCTATCACCAAGAGAAAGGTCCAGGTGAGTGGGTAGAGTTCACCGGTGGTCAGACATTTCTTTTAAACCCACCAGTCCTGGTTCTTCAAGGCCACTATGCCTAGGCCGTTCTATGCTGAATCTCTAATGGATACTGCCCTAACCATTTTTATGAGTAGCTGGCTCTCTATTGCTAAAACTGTCCTTCATCAATTAAAGTGAGTGGCCTGCTCTCTAATGTATGGTACAGCCGTACATATTTTGATCTGAGTACTGCTCTGTGCAGTCCATTAATGCTTTCCTGCGGACCATATTTGGTGTTACCAGGCCATTCCAATAAGCCAGAAAGCAACCTCTCTATATTTCATGGTCCCAGTGTGTCAGAGGTTCCACTGTATGTGTAGTGGAACCTCGCTATTCCAGTCATATACTTTGCAAAAGTGGCTGGATTAGTGAGGTTGCTGCATTTCAGGATAGGTAGGTTGATCGATTCATTCCAGAGCATTTGGCTGCTTTGGAGAGGTGGCTGCATTTCAGAGGCTTTGATTTGTGAGGCTCCACTGCATTTCGCACTTTTTGTAGGTACATGAGCAGAATAAGAGACGAGCCAACTGTGCTTAATGCTTTGACTAAAGTTGGAGTATGGAATGGTAATGTCTTCTATCTCGCTGCACCTATCCACGCAACTTCTTTCTCTCGCTGTCTAACCTGAACATTTTCCTGTCGGCTGCAGTCGAGGAAGGGATTGTAGAGGGAGAAGTTTGGGAACGTTTTCTCGAGAATGAAGAAAAACTGGTCGAGTTGGACAGACGGCGGCAGGAACTGGACTCTGCTCAGTTCTTCAAAGAGGTATCTGTGCAGGTTTAGCAGCTCAGAGCTGCAGAAAAGATTTAACATGTTAGTGTTTGTTTAAATTAGCTTGTACAGATCCGTGCTTCTCTGTTCGGTAGTCCTCTATATGCAACACATTGAACCCATGACGCTAGAGTACTCGATCTTTTTCTACTGCTAGAAGCTTGGTAGGCAGGCCACAAACTCTACAACACAAAGGCAAGCCCTAAACTCCCTGTAAGCTTACGTAATATTTTTAAAGCTTCTAGCCTCAGTTACCAGTTGAGAAAGAGAAACTGAAGCTGCTGCAGAGAGAGGACGTCAGATTTGAAGGCAGACAGCATCTTCATTGGTTGCTGGTACTGCGTGTCCAGCACTGTTAGACTGCAAACATACTGGTGCTCCGATTTTAGAATTGCCAACATCAACTGCAGGTTTTAAAAGTAAGACGGATAGCTGTAACTAGCTATATAGAGCACACAGAGCGCTCTGCCTTGCTCTGTATGAGTGATTCAGCCCAGCCAGCTGAGCTGCCTCAGTAGCTCAGTTGGTGGAGCCCTCTCTAGAACACAGAGCGCTCTGCCTTGCTCTGTAAGAGTGATTCAGCCCAGCCAGCTGAGCTGCCTCAGTAGCTCAGTTGGTGGAGCCCTCTCTAGAACACTGCCTTGCATTATTCAACTTAAACTCAGTCATCTCTAACAGTAGATTACACACAGACCTCTTGAGGGTGATCCATATGCTCATGAGATGGACTGTGCCCTCTCAGATCAACGGTTGATATCTTTTTCTTGTTCCACCTCTGGAGCTTGAGCTGCAAGAATAAAGTGACTGGACAATCACAAGTGCGCCAAGTAAGGAGGCGAGCTATGATTATGTTAGAGGAGCAACCTCTGGAGCTTGAGATGCAAGAATAAAGTGACTGGACAATCACAAGTGCGCCAAGTAAGGAGGGTATTCAGCAAAGTGAGGGTTGGTGAAATAGATTTCCACACTATATATCAACACCCCCATTCTTTGAGGAATAATCACAAAACCAAAAGGAAAGATGTACACAGCAAGTGTGCTTTTCACACAAAAGGTATTAATGGTTGAGATCTAAAACTCCATCAGATGTATAATATTATTCCAGAGCATGTTGTAATGCTAGGTTCATAATAATATTATGTCGCATTGCACTGCCGCGCTGTGCCGCAATGGTTGCATCACTGCATGTGGATGGCACAGCATGACAGGGCAATGCATTGTATTCTGAACCTATGCATGTAGCTTAAGTCATGACATTCTCTCCCATGCCTCAATATAGCTCCCACCACAAAGGTCACACTACTGTGTTGGTGCTAGACAGTGGGCATGCGGGTTTTCATACACTGTGGCCATTTTTAGAGGCTGCAGTGTAGTACTCCACTGTTGATGTCACAACTCTAGAGAGACTAGTGTCTGGGGATGCACTCAGATCCACATCAAAGGGAGGCCAAGTAGTAAATCGGAACAGACGAGGCTGCTGTTGTACCATCGTATGGATGTATCATGCATGCTCAGCAGGCTCTGTGAGTAGTACCGTGGCACTAGTGTTCTGCGTGGGATTTTTAATTTCAGGCGATAATAAGGCCAACATACGTACATACACAATGCCGAGAGAGCACTTTCGGAAGCCATGGGATCTGCTTATATGATGTTAGCGGCTAGTATTATAACCCCACTATAATTCTTATAGACTTATGGAGGCTCTGGACACATTTATGTGTCCGTGGCTGGTTAAGTGTTAAAACTATAAAACACAACTTTGCGCAAATGAATGCAGCTCAATTACCATGGTTAAACCCCGGTGCTTCTGTACGTTGGTACAAAAGTTCGTTTTTAACTAAAATACTGCATCTATAGTGTATAGACATTCGGTCGTACATACATTGTCAGCTGCAGCTCTTGTAGAGTTAGCTTCGTTCAACAGTTGTTGCTGCTTGGCAATCAGCTCACAGTAGTCCTTCCTGGTCTGCTCCCACTCTTGCGCCTCGACTGATATCATCTGCACAACAAAAGAACGTGTACGCAACGGTTATGTTGGCACTTTGTTATTTCCCAAGTACATGTAACAATAGACCATGTGATGCCAAGAGAAAAAGATGGGGAGCTCTGGACAGCGGTTTCGGGCTTGTTGGCCCTCATCAGCAAAGCATACCGCAACTTCTTTCTCTGGCATCACGAGTTTATAAAGGCAAAGTTGAGCGCAGCACTTGTGGTTTTGAACTAATGTTCTAGGATTTAAGTTCATGTCACATGTACAGGGCCCTAATAACTACTAATAAACCTCGTCGTATAAAACTAACATTAGTATCGACTCTCATGAGGTCTCTGGGAGGTGAGACAGACACCTCGTGTCATATGGTGTATGTTCGTGTGTTAACGGTTCCGCCCATTGCTCTGGGTGCGTGGTCTATGGCCCTAGTGCTATGGCAGCCACCTGAGTACTATTAGTATCGACTCTCATATATCTTGCCGCATTAAAATGCAGTTCAAAGAGCACTTACACATTGTAGTGTTTGTAGAGAAACTAAAAGTTATACGAACGCAGCAAATGTTGTAGTGATGAGGATGCATTAACGTACTATATATATACGCACACTTGCAAAGACCCTCAATGCAGTTCAAACGTAGTACGCACTACATAGTAGACACAAGTGTTTTTGTGAATCACCCGAATGAACGTAATATTGTCTGGCTCCTCCAAAGCTAGAATGGGCGAGCATGAATTAAATGACGTATACGCACCTATATCGACATGCAGATCCGCATGCATAATTATAATATTCCTACGAACTGGATCATGGTTTTTGAGCATGCCAGCTTGCGCATGTGTTGATGTGTGTTTACAAAAGCCCTTGTGTTTCCTCATAAACTGTAATGAAGTGTTAGCCTCCTTTCTTACAAGCAAGCTTAAGCATACGTAGGTACATGCAGCAAAAGCTTTCTCCCTTAGCTCTTACATCTTTCCAGCAAGCTCGGTCTTTTAAAAATTTACGCACAAAACCTTTCTTTCGTTAAATCTACACAAATCTGATTGTAATACTGCACACACGTACGTACCTGAAGACGTCTTCTGCACTCCAGTATCTCAGTCAGTAAGCCCTCTCTCTCCTCCCTCCACTTCCACGTACCTCCACACCCCACCGTACTCTCGCCGTTGACGTGGTGAGGGTAGACCCCCGCTCGTCCCCGCAACTCTTCCATCGCCATGGCGAAATCGGCGCTGATCCTCCCGCTCTCCGTGTCCGCCGACGATTTTCGGCTCCCGATGCTGGAGACCTCGGAATCCACAGCCGTGTGGCTCATGTGGAGTGGAATGGAGCCAATACCGAATGGGGAAAACCGACCTTGTGGCGACATCGATCTACTCCTCGTAGAGCGAGGGGCCGCCCCCTGGGGGTTAAATTCTCGCGACCGCCGGTTCCCCTCTGGCGAAGACTGCCCACTGGAGAGCGGAGAAGAGGCCAACAGCCGGTGGTGGTCCGCAACAACTTTACGATAGGGGGAGACCCCCAAGATGAGCGGCCCCCTGAAATTCGGTGAGGGGTCCATGGAATTCCAAGGGGACCGAGCGACAGTAGCCGAACCATTCATAGACATGATGGGCTAGAAACACATGTGTGCTACTGTATGAAGATTCTCAGTTGTGATTACGACAATACGGTCAAGCTCTGCAGGTGAAGGAAGTGCATGAGGTAGAAGGTTAGTGAATGACAATTGATACATAAGAGTAAGAGCTAACGTAGCATCATTTTTTTCTGCAGATATGTCGTCATTTGAAAGTTCTGCCAACAATTTTCACTCGCATTGCACTGTGGTGTCAGAAAAGAGGTACATACGTACATACGTTACATAACGTGAATGGCCAATGTACGTACCACGTACTGTACTGTGTAATGCAAACTTTTATCCATGAATGTACCACTGTACTGAAGTCTATGCTATATCGTGGAACTCGGGAACCGAAGAAAGTAGTGACATTTTCTTATTTCAGGGGTTATAGTATTGGACACAAGGACTGTTCTCGAAGAAAACATCATATCAGGTGACCTCATTTCAGGGGGTCCTTAGGCTTTACTACGTAGTTGGTCCTTAGCAGAGAGGGGTTTCAGGATTATAGTGAACCTAACATGCTACATGACCGGCAAGGCCAGAAGAATGCAGATGATTAGGAGCCACCTGAGAATGACATCACCTGTGGATAGCAGTGGTATCCCAATTGTGTTTTGATGTGGAGAATTGTGTAATTACTTAATGTGCTCTCTCTGGGGCTATTATCCACTGCATGTGCAGCTGACAAATTTGCAAATACTGAGGGTTATTTACCCCAAATGAACTTCTATTATCCCAAATGAACTTCTACCAAGGCAGCTTGGCTGGCTGAACTGAATCACTCGTACAGAGCAAGGCAGAACAATCTGTGTTCTAGAGAGGGCTCTACCAACTGAGCTACTGAGGCAGCTCAGCTGGCTGGGCTGAATCACGGATACAGAGCAAGGCAGAGCACTCTGTGTTCTAGAGAGGGCTCTACCAACTGAGCTACTGACGGCAGCTCAGCTGGCTGGGCTGAAACACTCACACAGAGCAAGACAGAGCACTCTGTGTTCTAGAGAGGGCTACCAACTGAGCTACTGAGGCAGCTCAGCTGGCTGGGCTGAATCACTCATACAGAGCAGGGCAGAGCAGTCTGTGTTACCTTCAGAGCTACCGAGGCAGCTCGGTCAGTTGTGGTTAAGAGCCAAATCACTCACAAGTACTGAACAGCCCGTAACCCAATGATCATCCACGCTAACAACCTTAACACACCCCAAACTCCCAAGCCCACGATAATTGCTAAAAATAACAAGTTGACATGCCTACAAACCTCCCCCCTCTAGTACATAATCCGGTAAAGCTCTATCCAACCTACTCATGGGCATTAAGGCACGTCCCAGCACTGGAAACACCCAAATGCTGTATCTCCAAAACTAAAGGGGTTACACACATCAAACCTGAACAAGTGTTTGTAAACAACAACAAACATCGACCACACCCACAAACAAGGTCACGTGATCCATAGTGGGCGTGTACCGTCCGTATTTTACGTCATTTGTTTAGACTAGCAACGGTAAGGAACTAGCCAACGAAGGAATATTTCACTTATGTCAAACAGTAAAACAAGTAGCGAAGTCATTATATTTTGAATGGGAACTGACGAAACCTTCCCGTAGCCGTCTTATGATGGCTTTCAGGTTACCGGCTACAATTATGGCGTGGCAAATGACTCATACCTCCGCTAAACGTAAGAGCCGACCGTTCCAATCCGAGTAGGTGAAAGAGCTATCCGTCAGCTGTCTTACGAAGGCAGAGCTATAGCTCCTTCACTGCTCTCCACTTACCGTTGCCCGGTTTTAGTTAATCGTACAGCGCGATTGCTGCGTCTCTAGAACGAATCTGAGGTCAAAGGTGAGAACATTGTGCGCATGCGCCCTCCAGCCATGCCCGCGCGCGGCGGTAAAACTCAACCAGCTGACATGACAGAGCTAGAGATGCGTCCGTCTGCGCTTCTTCTATATTCATAACACTAGAAAAAACATTAGGCATAGTTTTAGTACATGTACACAGGTCCGTTAACTCTCGACGTTGTGCGCTCACATCGATCGACCCCCACACGTACGTACGTAAGCGCCGGCGCGCGCGCATTACGTTCAAATATTTCGTACGTTTGTGCGTAAAGTGCGCGTAGAATTATTCGGGACGCGCCTTAACGTCCCTGAGTATTGTAACACCATCCAAACCTAGCACCCATCGTTAACAGCCAACCACGCTACGCACTGCCCAATTGAGTGGCAGAACTAATTTGAAGTGTGTTTTGTGCCAGAATTCTGCAGTGGAGGGTAGGCCAAGGGCCACATTTGCTTGCAGGGAAGACACCTGATCTGGCAGACACCCCGCTGTGTGGTATGGCCTGTCGGGGTACCACCCTTTTTTGAAAACCGCAGGGGTCCCTGGTGAAAGAGGCGATGTGAATAATCTAGACACTTCTCCAAGGAAGTGGTCAAACAGACGAAAGTGCCCATATTGGTGATGTTTCATATTTTGAATTGCTTGCAAGACCTGTTCTTGGAGAAAGACTTAGAGTGTCCTCATTTTAGGGGTTTTCTTTGCACTGCGTTAAACATTTGTAGAGGAAAGGCTACATAACATAAACAATTAATGTGCAGCAACATATCACGTCTTATTACTAAATATGCACCTTCACGAATTCCTCGATTTAAACACTTTACCATAAACGTACATGAACACGTCGCGTCACTTAATTACCGCGCATGTTTTTCACCAAAATTTTAATGACAATTTGGCTCGTAAGCTAACAACCATTAAACCTCAATTTTATACCGCGTATAATGCATTAGTAGACTTTTTGTAAACAAATACATTTTTGGAGGGAAACGTTTTTCATTTGAGGCATGGCAAAGGAGTTCTGGGTTGGACAGCAAATTAACCTCTTCGGGTTAAAATTTAACCTCTCCATAACAGGTTAAACTTCTGAGAGACTGTAAGCCTCTTCTAAACAGATTAAACTATTGTGTCGTTGCTCGATGGAGAGGTACTAAATGCACTAACTAAGTCGTCCACTCTGGTCAACAAGAGCAATGAAATTAACACTGTTCCTACAAATAAACACGTAAAACTTGACTATATTAGCTTAGGGATCTCCAAGCTACAGAGTTAGTTACTAAATGATGTCTATATAATACTATGAACTTTACACCCACTCCAGATTAATAACATACCACTCCAGACTATTACAGTGACATACAGCAACTAAGATGCTGCTGCAATGCCATACATGGTATCAAAACTCATCTCCTGTATATTACAAACTGTTCCTGCACTAAACCAGGACTTTGTACCTTTGTTTTACCACAAGGATGCTACAGCACTCACCTGTGTCTCGGTTCAAAGGGCAGCTATTATTCCTAGGAAAAACGGGTATATATAGCTGCGTTGTTTCTTTCACCTTGTTGTTGATACAACAAGGTCATATTTGGGTACAAGTTGAAAATTGAAACTGAAGATTAACAGCTCATATACAAGTCAAGTTCTGTTCAACCTAATAGTGTTCAATGAAGGTGTCTGTTTTTTCTGAAAGCTAATGGTTACCCTGGAGGTCATTCTCAAAGTCTATCATCACCCGAAATGCTACATGTAATACCAACTGCTGCAGCAAGTGATTATTGTGGAGTCACTTCCTGTACAGGAAATTACATCATCGTAATCCAAGATTCCTTAAGATCGACTGATAATCATTAATTGCGACAGGTTTTTCTACATTTAAAAGCAAACAATGATGTGCACACTCAAGCACAAGCACTTAGCAACGTAAACAAACGAAGGACTGCTGAGGTTGTTAAAAAAGCTGTTTTTTATACAACATTACACAACATAATCATCAGATCTAAGCAAGCGTTATTTATGGAAAAGGGTCCTCTATAATGAGAGGTTACACAATAAAACATTCACACAAACAGAAATGCTATTTATAGTATCGTGTTATGCGTACGGATTTGGGGCATCAGCGGATTTTTCTTGAGCAAACCTTCGATATGATAGCGCAGAAAAATGTTTGACTCCACTTATACTATCAGCTACAGTAACACTGGCTGCCCACACCATAGATGTAGAGGCAGGGGAGTACAACTCACTGCGAGATAACCGTGGACTGACTCTGACATCTATGGTGTGTGCAGCCAGTATTATACCGTAGCTGATAGTATAAGCGGAGTCCACACATATTTTCTGCGCTATCATCCGCACATCTGTGTGTAACCTTCCTCCCATTTCCCTTCACAAATCTTCGTCTGTTATTACACGCACTTTTAAACGTGCGTACTATATATGACTATAATACGTATGCACGTAGTACAACTCTAAAGGGGAAATATGCTGGGACCAAGTATGGAAACAGAAACTGCAAGCAAAGAACAAAGGAACTGCACAGGTAAACATAAGCACAGGGGCAAAGTTGAAACAGATGGTCTCACAGATGGTGAAATTCTTCTATTCACATCGTATAAATACCAACTTACAAACGAATATTACACAAGTACACGAAAGTACAGAGTTGCATTTGTGAAGGGAAATGGGAGGAATGGGAGAGAGAGAGACAAACACACCGAAGGATGGATAGAAAGAGGCAAGAAATGAGGGAAGGGAGGGAGAGTAGGGGGAAGAAAGGAAGGAGGGAGGGAGGGGACAGCAGGAGGAAGAGAGGGAGTGAGGGAGGGAGGGAGGGGAGTGAGGGAGGGAGGGAGGAGCAACAAGCTAAGCTACAAAAAGGTACATTCAAACTGTATTCGACAACCTACACCTCCAAAAATGACACACAGACACACATTTGAGGTCAACAAACACGAGCAGACGGTCAGAGTAGACCACCCCAGCAACAGCCTTCGGGCGGGCCAGAGAACTCGCTACCATCCCTAGCTACTGCCATATGGCTGCTGTCCATTGGCGGGCACGGCCAATAACTAACTGAATTCCAGACTTGGCCACGGGCAGGCTCAGACAATCAACGTATTACACACAGTCATACATCTTGCTATCGTTGGCATACGTATTAAGTAAAGTCTGGCTCGGAAAGGGTACCAACTGCAGGATATATACATAACGTAGTCTGATTTCAGAG